TTTCCTTGTTTTTTTATTTTGGGGGGGATAGCTACACTCTCAATAAAATGTTTAAGTTCCTCTAAGAATAAACAAAAACATGAATATTGTAAAGTTGTTCTCCACCTGGTTTGTTTGCAGTCGTATCACGTGGGGGAAGTTCATCAACTGTGGGCAGACGTGCATCGCTCCAGACTACATCCTGTGTGAGCCGTGCATCCAGGGCCGAGTGGTGGAGTGCATCCGACAGACACTTCTGGTAAAGCACCCAATGACCAAAGAGAATCACCGTGACATCACACGTACAGCTGCACGGTGTGAGACCTTACTGAGACTACCTCTCTGCTCCATTCCAGGAGTTTTATGGTGCCGATCCAAAATGCTCACCTGACTACGGGCGAATTATCAACCAGCGTCACTTCAACAGAATCATGGGGCTGATGGAGGGCTACACTCCTGTGGTGGGTGGACAGAGTGACTCCTCACAGCGCTACATTGGTAATGAAACTGCAGTTTGAATCCTGTGATGCAGATCCATCTGTGCTCTGTGTGATAAATGTTGATGTTGCACTGAAAGCCCCGACGGTGCTGAAGGACGTGCCGCCCCACTCCAGGCTGATGCAGGAGGAGATCTTCGGCCCCGTGCTGCCCATAGTTACAGTGAGCGACATGGACAACGCCATCACCTTCATCAATGAGAGAGAGAAGCCCCTGGCTCTGTACATCTTTTGCTCTGACAAGAAGGTGAGAAGGAACCATCTTTAAGTAGCTTTTAACGTTAGCAGCGTCCCTCGTGCTCGTCTCACAACCATTTCTTCTCACAGGCAATAAAAAAAATGATTGCGGAGACGACGAGCGGTGGAGTGACGGTCAACGACGTCATGATGCACTATACGCTCAACTCCCTCCCGTTTGGTGGCGTAGGTAGGAAGACTTCAAAGGGTGGCTTTGAAGTGGGAAAGCTTCACAAAATGTGACAACTTTAGACAAAAAACACAACATCAGATGAAACAGTGTCAGCTAAACCAGGATGTCAGATGAAAGACCAAACTACAAACAATCAAAGATGGATGCAGCTAAACATGGTTTTTAAAAAAGAAGGGGATGCAGAGAAGCGGGTCCGAGTGTGATACCGCTTGCTCATTGGCTAACTTGTCAGTGGTAACTTGTTGGTTACTCCCATTTAAACTAACTCTGAATAAGAATACATTCAGGAGCTGAGATTACAAACAATTAAAAGTGTTATAAGAAGCAAATACTATAAAGCTATACTGGACAAGATTAAGATCAATTTGAGTTCTGGAGAACACTGCCTATTTCGGTAATAATAATGGATTGGATTTATATAGCGCTTTTCAAGGCACCCAAAGCGCTTTACAATACCACTATTCATTCACACACTGGTGGAGGCAGCTACAGTTGTAGCCACAGCTGCCCTGGGGCAGACTGACAGAAGCGAGGCTGCCATATCGCGCCATCGGCCCCTCTGGCCATCACCAGTAGGCGGTAGGGTAAAGTCTTGCCCAAGGACACAACGACCAGGACAGAGAGCCCGGGGATCAAACCGGTGACCTTCCGGTTACAGATACGCTTCCCAACCCCCTGAGCCACGGTCGCTCTGTAATAGCATCTATCTTCACGTATCTTACTGAAACCTGGACTTCCCATGTGTAAGCTTGCCCTCCAACATTAAATGTGTTATTATTCAGCCTCTCTGGCTGGATGAGGACATGTAGAGAGGACTGTCTGCCGGCCCCCGGCCGGGGTGGAAGCCCCCCCAATTGAATTAAAAAATGACCCTACAATCACAAACTGCAAATCTGTGGGCGAGCAATAAAACTATTCAAGCTAAGTGTTACATCATTCACACTACTAACATCAGCCAATTCACCTTTTAAACCTTCAGTGATGCATGGAGACTCCACAATATTGGGGATCTTTACATCAGGAGTTTGCACTGTGATCACTGATGCAACCCTGTTACAGTCCATGTGTGAGCACATACTGACAGCACAAATGACAAATGAAGCGCTCCTTTCAGAAGACATGACTGACTTGTGTGTCACCCCTCCAGGTCAGAGTGGTATGGGACGCTACCATGGCAAACACACCTTTGACCAGCTGAGCCACCACAGGGCGTGCATGGTGCGGTCACTGGGCATGGAGAGCGTTAACTTGGCCAGGTACCCTCCTCAGAACCGCCAGCGGGCACGCAGGGCTCGGATGGCCCTCACGTCGCCGCTGATTGACATGTCCAAGAGGACCCTGGTGTGGGCCATTCTCGCCACCATCATCGGCCTCGGTCTCCTCATCGCCCTGCTGGTCATCCTGCTCATTGCAGCGGGCCTCAACTGCACCTGCTGGTACTGGAGAGGCTTCTATAACTAGACACACTGTGACCTCACTGTGGAAGATCCTTCCAAAGAAACAAACGTGCTTTTCACAGACGTTCATGATCAGATGAATCTTGTTTTATTGTTTTATAAAGATGAATAAAACAGTAACCTTTGGCTTGATCTATTATCTCTTTTATGAGCAGTGTGTGAATTTGATTCTATTTTTACAGTCGGTTAACATCCACTTTGTGAGGAAATATTGATGTAATTTGTTGTTTAAAATTAAAAGATGTGTTCTTAAAATGTAATATTCCATGTTTTTTTTTAAACCTTCATTTTATTTTGGCACAAAACTGAGCAAGTCTCCATCCTTTTACACGCTGTTACTATTGTGACCACAAGAGGGCACCATTGAGACATAAATATCTTCTTTTTGTTTTGGCTCTTCCCTTTAAGGGTCGCTGCAGTGCACCATCGGCCTCTGGCTCATCTTTAGCATCCTCTTCTGTCACCCCAGCTCTCTGCATATCCTTCATCACTTCTTACATGAACCTTTTCTTTGGTGTTCCTTCTCTCTTCATGCATCCTTGGTTCAGTGTATTCACAACCCCTCTGCACATCGTAGCCTAGTCTCTCTAACTTTGTGTCCGAACCACTCAACCCGAGCTGTCCCTGTGATCTACTCATTTCTCATCTTGTCCGTTCAGGTCACTCCCAAAGACAACCCAGATGTTGACTCTGGAGAGCAACGTTCACTCTTTCCTTCCAGTCTTTTCATTAAAGCTACTGTGCAAAAGTATTGCTCTACCCCTCGTTTACATTTTCTAGGAAAATAGGTGTGATTTAAACACGTGCAAACATACATGGAACTACGTCTTGTAAACCTAACTTTTCACTCCTGATGCAGCCCTGACACTCGTCTCCACCCACTCCACCCTGCCAGCACTCGCTTCCTCACCAGGATAGTTAACCTCAGGTATTTAAACTCATCCACCTTCACTATCTCTAGTGCCTGTATGTTCACCTTTCTGCCTGCCTCCTTCTCATTCACTCTCATGCATTTTGTTACTTTCATTGCTCTTCCCTCTCGAACACATTCGCACCTCTTCAGGCTCTTTTTTACTGCAAACATCATCCTATCTCTCAGCCCTTCCACCACCACTGCAAAGAAGAAGCGGCTCAGACCCAATCCCCGATGTATTCCTGCCTCCACTCTAAACCCATCTGTTGTTCCTACCTTTCACCTCACCAGAGCCAACTCGCCCATCACCGAGACCATTTCTGAAGAGCTTAGGTGAATCTCTTAGGTCTCATGTCCTTGCTGGATTTCTTTCCTGTTTCTTAAGAACATGACTACCAGATATGATTCAATGACAACAGTTGCTCAAGAGCAGTCACAAAAAACCATCTGGCTTTTAAATTTAAACTGAGTTTAAACTCTTCTAGAACGACTGTAATCCAACAGAATGCAGAGAGACAACCTCGATGACTTTAAGTCAACATACTGTGTTGAAGACAGAAGTTACAGTAGAGCAGGGTCATACGTTCTTGTAATATTAATTTGGACCACAAGATGGTGCTGCAGGTCAATGTAGCACGCAGTCTCACTGATACCAAATCACAACAACAGTCTCAAGGCGCTTTATATTGTAAGGTCGACCCTACAATAATACATACAGAGAAAAACCCAACAATCATATGACCCCCTATGAGCAAACACTTTGGCGACAGTGGGAAGGAAAAACTCCCTTTTAACAGGAAGAAACCTCC